TAAACTAGATGTAATATTATGTCAACACTCCGTTTCCCGATTTTGCTAATTGTACTGTGGTTATGTGACTGTCCATTTTCTCAGGAAATATAGGGGAAAAGGGGACATCATAATTGCAATTTCCCCTCAAATGGTTTAGAAAAAAAGATGCACGGAGAGAATGATAAAGCACATGTCACAAAATGTGAATAATCGGTGAATCTGGGGGAAGAGCATATGGGAATCCTTTGTGCTATTCTTGTAACTGACATTACATCAATGGAAAAATTAAAACAGAAGCAAGAGAGAAGAAAACCTGTTTGGATTCTTTTCTTTAAAGAAGCTATTTTCCCTCGAGGAACTAATTCAAATGGCTGCCTCCTTAGCAAGCCTAGACTCTTCCTTAGCGATTTCAGTACACATGCCAACCTTTCGGAACAGATGCAAATCTTCTGAGATGTGTTTATAAGATCCTCGCTCTCCAGCATGCAATGCGGGTTGTGCTTCTCGACCACCACCCCGTCCTGTCAGGTTCATTGACAGTATCCAGTGTACACGGGCACTGTGCCATATCCGAATCTCCAAGGCTCATCCCCACGCCAGGCCAGAGCAGGAGACCAGGGTAGGAGTCTGTGAAATGGAAAGATTGAAATATCCAGGGAATAGCAAGAGCTGGGACTGAGAGGGAATGTGGAGAAACCCCACTAGGCTCTGTTGGGGCAGGGACCCTCGTGCATGCCTGGATCCTGGACAAAAAAGCTTTGCACATAGCGGTGGCCTGGAGGCCTCCACCCTGTGTCTTGCTGACGAAGGGATTTGCCTTGGCATGGGCAATCAGGAGAGAGAGGAGAGAAAGTTCCTCTCTGCAGGGGCAACTCAGGACTAATCCCATCAGCCTGGTTAGGGGTGAACAGGATGACAGCTTTGCTCAAGTGCACTTCAGGGTTCATTGGAAGTTTACCGGCTCCTTCCAGTTGGTTCAGCTCACTCACCAAATGCAGTGAGGTCTCTGGGCTGCCCCTCTGATCTTGACCTGATCTCGTGAGGGTACAGGGTTTTCGGTTTGACTTTCCAAGCTCCTCAAATTCTCATCTCAGTTCTTAAAGGTCCTCAGGTAATGGGGTTTGAGGTTGGGATATTTGGAAGTGAGTGGCCATGGATGAGACTGGAGGGTGCGTGGAGGCCTTGAATGTTACCCCTGAGAGCATGGTTTGATCCTCAGAGCAATGGAAGGAGCCACAGGACAGGGATAGGTAAAGGAGGGAAATGGTCAGATTTTCAAATTCATTCTAGCAGCTGAAGTTGAGGATCAGAGGGTGGAAAGAAGCAGAAAGATCAGGGTGGAGGCTGTCACAGAAATCCAGGCAAAAAATAGAGCGAGAGTATTGTTTAGACCTTGCCCGAAAGTAGAAATGGTGACATTTAGCATTCCACCACCCAACTTCTTATTCTAGTGGCAGACGTTGCTAATTGCTCAGTGTCCTCCGTGGGCCTGATGGGCAGCTCCCAGTGACAGTTGACTCTAACAACTCGCTGTTATAGGAGGCAAGGGAAGTCACCAGTTGTGAGGATATGCCTGGGTTTGCTGCCAATTCACTCTGGGTCTGCCCCAACCTGAGGCCCTGGGCTAGTCTTTGAGGCCTGGCCAGAGTGGCTCAGAGGCTGAGCATCGACCTGTGAACCAGGAGGTCATGGTTTGATTCCCGGTCAAGGTACATGCCTGGGTTGCAGACTTGATCCCCAGTGTGGGTGTGCAGAAGGCAGCTGATCAATGGTTCTCTCTCATCATTGATGTTTCTGTCTCTCTCTCTCTCTCCCTTCTTCTCTGAAATCAATAAAAAATATATATATTTTTAAAAAACCAAGTCTTTGAGGTCCCTTACAGTCATTGTGCCGCGCCCTGCTGTGTGCCCTCCATGTCCCCACTTAGAGCTTTTTCACGTCCATTATCTCATTTCAATCTCACAACATTCCTGGAAGATCAAGGTTGTCATCCCCACTTTATAGATGAGGAAACTGAGGTCAGAGACTCTTAGTAGAGTGCCTAAGTTCCCCTGGCTCCAGGTGGCGGAACCGGGACTCAAACCCAGGATCTGTCTGGCTCCAAAAGCGATGGCTCCTTCCCCGAGAAGCACGTGCCCGCTGCCCCAGCTGTTTGCACTTGTCAGGGCCTCGTGCAGAAAAGCCAGGACAGGTTCGGGCTGACATCTTGGTAACAACGACTTTCCCTGTCAATAAAAATCCCTGGCTTAAGAAGACCTGGGAAACTTGACTTCTGAATCACCCTTCCCTAATCCGCTCCGTGCTGAGCCATGGAAAAAGGAGGCTCTGGCCCCAGGGTGGGGGTGGGGGCTCCCTGAGAGGCTGCTGCACAGATGGTGAGGGGTGGAGGCCTCTTGCTGTGGAAGAGAATAAAGTTTCTGTCCTTGCACCGTTGGAATGAAGGCCCTGGAGCCAAGCAGCCAGGGCCAGGGCAGGGCCAGACAACCTTCGGCACGTGAAATGCCACCCCGTGCTCATGGCAGATCATTCTCGGTCATAATTCATCCCCCGCAGACGTGCATCCTGAAAGCCCAGTCTGTTCCTGCCTCGTGGGGTCCCTGTCGGAATGTGGGGGGTCGAGGTGCTGGCCCCAGTTGTGGGCAGAGTTCAGACTGGGCTGGGTGAGCAGGGCAGCGCCTGGGCACCGCCTGGGGCAGAGGGAGCCTTTGTGCTCTGGGCCCTAGGAGCCCCACCCCCACCCGCAGTGGCTCCATTGAGGAGAAATAGCTGTCACACACCCCGTTCCCTCTGCTCCTCCTTCTGGGACAGCCTGGGCAGAGGGTGCTTTCTGGGTGCAGCCTGGCATCTGACAAATCTACCCTCACCCATCATCCGGGGTGCTCCTCCTGAGCTGCAGGAGACCTCAGCCTGAAAGCGTGGCACAATCTTCTGGGAGCTTTAAGAACACACCAACTCTCCCTCCTGCCCCAGAATCGCTGGTGTGTTGGTCTGGGGCACACCTGGCATTGGCACCTTTTATTATTGATTTATTTAAATATATTTTTATTGATTGATCTCAGAGACGAAGGGAGAGGAAGAGAGAGATAGAAACATCAATGATGAGAGAGAATCATTGATGGGCTACCTGTTGCACGCCCCCAACTGGGGATTGAGCCCACAACCCGGGCATGTGCCCTGACGGGGAATTGAACCATGACCTCCTGGTTCATAGGAGGATGCTCAACCACTGAGCTGGGCCCGGCATTGGCACCTTTTAAAACAATCCCAGTGATTCTGCTGGGAGCCGGGGCCGAGAACCACTGGTGTGAGGCTTTGAGAGGGTAGCACTGCAGCTCAGCCACCACCAGCCAAGTGACCCTGAACATGTGACATAGCACGTGGTGCCCCAGTGCCCCCTTTTGTGAGATATGGACAGCAACAGTGCTTATGTCGTGGGGTTCCTGGGAGGATTCGATGAGATAATACCGTACATACTTGGCACCGCGGCCGGCACAGAGCACACGCTCAGATGTGGTAGCTCCTCCGGGGGGTTCTTACTATTTCTTCCTTTCTCATTCCTACCAAGGGGACATTTAGGGCTTGATGTCCCAGGGAGAAAGTCAAAAGTGCCGAGAGAGGTCCCCGTTGTGAACCGTAGCTTTAGAGGTGACCGAGGAGGCTCTGCCCTGACTTGGAGGCGGGTGGGGAGGTGTTGGTCCCGCTGTGGCTCGGTGGCTCCTGTGGCTCCAAGCGAAGCCCACACTCCTTAGCATGGCACGTGGAGCCTCTCCTGGAGCACCCAGAACACCACGTGGAGGGGGTGGCACCGGCCTGCCCACCTCCCAGTGAGCGCTCAAGGGGAGGGATGAGACCTGCTCAGCTCGGTGCCCCTGTGGCCAGCATACGGGGGACAGTCATGTCGGATAGTCCACAGTGCATGACAGGGACTTGCCAGGAGACCTGGCAGATTCTCTGAGCAGGGCATTACCGGGCCACAAGGGCAGCAGTAGCTGCCACTTCCTGAATGCCCACTGCGTGCTGGCCGTCTTGCTCAGGGTGTGCAAAACCACACAGGAATTGCCATGGCTCTTTCAGCTTTCAGCCAAGTTGGTAAGGGGGAGGGATAATGCCACCCGGTCCCCAAACCCAATGAACTTGACAGCCTCTGGCCTCTGTCAGCCGCCCAGCAGCCTTGAACACTGAATGGGGTACAGAGCTGCGTGCCTGTCATGTCCAGTGTGTGAATGGGGTACAGAGCTGCGTGCCTGTCATGTCCAGTGTGTGAATGGGGTACAGAGCTGCGTGCCTGTCATGTCCAGTGTGTGAATGGGGTACAGAGCTGCGTGCCTGTCATGTCCAGTGTGTGAATGGGGTACAGAGCTGCGTGCCTGTCACGTCCGGCGTGTGAGAGTATTGTTGCCACAACAACAGAGAGGCCTCAGCTCTCTTTGCTAAGCAAGGCCCTGCTTGCAGACCAGGGTGTGGTGTTTAATTGGGTATCTTCCCATGAAGATGGGTTTTCTCGCTTTCATAGAACTGCAGGGTGGAGAAAGTCACTGGAAATATCCCGTCTGCTCCCAACCTTAATGACCTGAGATAGCATTCTAGAGTGTTCCCCGTGGAACCTGGCTTACGGGTGACCTTCAGGAATAAATGATCGCAAAGGAACCTGTGAGTGAATGTCTCAAGTTTGGGAAAAGGCCCCCTCTCCAATGCCCTGATGCTTTTTTCCAGGAAAGCATTTCTTTGTTTTTACTTCTCCCCTACTGATCGAGTGTAAATACCCCCCTCTCTCTGCAGCCAGCGGGGGAAGGTGGGGTGCGGGGTGGTATCTGAACACCTTGGGAATGGCTCGCTTCCCCTCTGCACCGGGACGGGTGGCTTTCAGGCGGCCTCGGATTCTCCTGCCCTCACTCGTTATTCAGATCAGTAGAGTGACGAGGCCAAGTCTCATAACAAACCCAATATTTTTAAAAAGTTGTTAAATGTCTGTGTTATGATAAGGATGTAGACCATTGCATTTAGTCAAGACTTTGAAATCAAGCTTTTGGTCATGTGTTTATTTAGGTATACGCCACTATGTTGCAAACAAGGGATTGTGGCAACTTACAAAAATAGATAAAATACAATAGAATAAAAATAAAGAGATTAGGGTAAAGGTAAAAGCAGGAAGACTAGAACGAAGCCAGCGTCCAGTGGGAGACTCCGTACAATTGTTAAAAATAATAACACATTTGACTTTGAGCTTCCCAGTGGCCAAAGCAAAACAGAAAACATGACTGGTTACAAGATTCCTAACCACCGTTAGTTTGGGCCTTTGGTATAAACCTAATCGCCCTAGAATTTTCTTTTCTCTGTTAATTTATACTTGGCTTTGTTCTAAATGTGGTTGGCTTGGCATCCAAGGCTCATCCACGCTGACCCCAACCTTCTTCTTGGGTCTCATATGTGGACGTAATCTGTGGCCTGGCCACACTGAATAAAAGCAACAGCCACCATTTTTAGAGCAGCTGCTAGGGTGGCGGACAGTTAGCATAGAAAATATACTGACCAGCCCTGAAACCCCAACTCTGCCACAGGCTAAGCTGCACTGTGACCTGAGATAAGTCCTTTCATCTCAGTTTCCTCACCTGTAAAATGGGCGTATTCAGAGTCTATACCGTATATTGTTGTGGAGATGCAAGAATAAGCACATGGCATGCTTAGCACACGGTTGATGAGTCAATGAATATGGTTTATTACCTGATTTTGAAACCTTGCCCTCCACTTAACTGCCTACGTGACTTAACTTCTCTAGGCTGCAGTTTGACTATCTGTAAAATGAGGAAAGTAACTATTCCTACCACACAACCCACATACAAGGGCCTGAAAAGAGAAGAGGCTTAGTAAGTGTTTGGAGGCTGCAGCCAGAATCATCTTCCCAGACAACCATTTTGCTTGTCCTTTAATTTTTCAAAATCAGTCCATTCTCACTTTGCCTTTTCTCAGATTAATGGAGAAAGAGGAGCCTGAACACTTCTCACATGGTTGGGCTGTGATATCATAAAAGACACAGTCTTGTAAAACCCACACCCAGGGTCAAGGGACACGCAGCCCCCTTGCGGGCCTGTGAGTGGAGCGGGATGCTCGGGTGGAGGAGGCTGGATGTATCCACCACTATGAGTCAGGCCTTGCTGGGCTGGGCGTCATCGTTCCCCTTGATTTCAGGGGTGAGTTACAGCTTAAGCAAAACATCACCTGACAGTGCCTGACCATACAAAATCACCCGACGAGACAAAGAAATGCGTTCAGCACAAAATGCATTTCCCTGCCCTCTCGGGTATGCAGCTGGAGTTCCTAAGGTGACAACAGGGTGTCCAAATGTACAGATACCCAGGAGCTGGCATGCGGGGTAGCGGGGTCTGGGTGTGTAGGGATCAGCAGTAAATACCTCTCTGAGGTGTTGGGATGGATTGGGTGCTGGGCAGTCTATCGCCTTCCCAGGCAGAGCTGCCTCTAAGCCAGGAGAGTAAAGGACACAGACAGAGACCTTCTGAAGGAAATCGCTGTATCCTGTTCCCAGTGTGGCCCCGTGCCCTCTCTAAACCTTTCCGGGCCTATTTCTCTTTTGGTGAAGCAGGGAGTTGGACTGGAGAACCTCCCAGCTCTAAAAAGACTGCCCGCAGCAGATGAGGGGCAGGCTTCAAGGTCTTGTTGCCTGGATCTGAGGCTCAGGGAGCCATCAGCAGTTCCAGGTGGGAGATCCATCAGTGCTGCTCAGCCCCAGGTCCTGGGCTCGGGGCAGCCCTGGCACCAACATCTCTGAAGCCTGGAAAAGGGCTCTGGCTGTTCCCTGCAACCAGGTCCGATGCCTCCCCTGGACCCGACTGCTCCGATCTCGCCTTCCCCAGCCCCCCAGGCTGCTGGGCCATCTCACAAATGACCAGGTCAGAACTGACAAAGAAGAGGGAATCCGGTTCGTCCTGGCCCCACCCTGACCTCAGGCCTCTCGTCTTGCTCAAGGCCGACCTGGAGGTATCCCTGAGTGCATATAGGTTGTGGCTTGAAATGCCCAGAGTGAAAGGACAAGGTAGACCCCAGGCCCAGAGGCTCTGGAAGGGACTGGGGAGTGGTCCCAGGGCCTGGGTATGTGGCCAGAGTCAGCTCTTGTGGGTGGAGAGGGAGCCTGGGGGCTGGCCCGGCTCCCTGCCCTGGTAGAGTCGCTGCTGGCAGGCAGCTGTCTGCAGCCTTCTCAGCTGTTGCTGCAGAAACACATGACAGCACTGAGGAAGAAGAGAAAATAGAGTTGACTACAGAGGGAGGGGGAACTTGGAACGGGGGGCTGGTATTTTTCTTGGGGTGTGGTTTCTGCTCAGTGGCTGGGTGACCATGGAGGTTTGGAATGTGGTTGGACAGCGGGTGGGGTAGGGTAGGAGGGCTGGCCACAGCCAAGGAGCAGGGACCTTAGCCAAAGGGCCCGAAGCCCAGGGCCACCAACGCTCAGCCAGAGCGGGGACCTGGGGTGGCACACAGAGCCTGGCCTCCCCCCAGCATCAGTGCACTGGTCCCAAAGGCCTCTGGTTTTCAGAAGCCCTGGGAAGGGAGACAGAGTTGTGAGAACAAGAGAAATTAGAAGAGGGGAGAGGGACAGACACAGGGGGCAGCATGGTCAAGTCTCATCTGTAAAATGAGGCTGTTGTGACACGCGGCCTGCCTGATCCAAACTGGCCCCCGAGGCAAGGAATGTTGTCTCTCTGAGCCTCAGTGTCTTCCCCTGTGAAATGGGCTTCACTATCTCTACCTCCAAGGGTGCTGTCGGGAGGGTGAGGTGGGTTTGTGCTCATGAAGCTCTGGGCACTGTGCTCTGGAGTGGAAGCAACGATTACTCCACTGGGCGCTAAGGAAGCTTTCTGCTGGCTATGCCATATGCCTAGCCCCTGGCCCCGCCGCGTCCCCAATAAATATTTGCTGATGGAGTTCCTTGCAGGAGTCGCTACGGAAAGCCGCCGTGCCCATCGCCGCTCCTCTCCTGTGGGCGCAGGTCCCCACTCAGACCACGAAGTGGAGGGTGTAGGTGAGCTGGTGGCCGTTGTCCCAGGCGTACAGCACCCGCTCCTTCGGGTTGTAGTCGATCTGGGTGGTGTAGGCGTGCTCGTTGAGGAAGGGCAGCTGCGGGCGGGCGTCGGTGCCCGTGTGCGTGTCGAAGGCGTAGGCCACCTGGCCCTCCCGCTGGTTGTAGGTGTCCACGGCGTACAGGATGCCGCACACCAGGAAGCAGTTGCCGTAGGAGTTGCGCCGCAGCCGCGTCTTCCACGTGGTCTCGCGGTGCACCGACAGGTCCCCCGGGTCCAGGCGGCTCAGCACGATCACCTCGGGCTGGGCCCCGTCGCTGTCGTCCACCGCGGGGTAGATGACCCACAGTCCGCTCTCGTCCACGGCGAAGTCGATGTCCGAGTGCCCGCGCCACTTCCAGGGCGTGGTGTCCTCGTACACGGCGTCGGGCAGCAGCGCCCAGGAGGCCACGAAGCGCTGGCGCAGGTCGTACTTGATGATGTTCTTGGTGAAGGCGCGGTTGTAGTAGAAGGCGCCCTGGTACACCACGTGGCCCGTGCCGATCCAGTTGTAGGGCAGCTTGTACATGTTACTCCAGCGACCTGCGTGTGCAGGGCAGCTGGTCACACCCGCCCTCGGCTCACCCAGGGACCAGTGAGGCCGCCCAGGGCTCTGGGATGGCTCTGCAAGCCACGGGTCCTGAGTGTGCTGTGGGCCTGGAGCTGGGCCTATCGTCCTATCCCCGCAGCCCCTCCAAGGAAGGACTAGTATCCCGTCTGCCCAGGAGGAAACAGGCTGCCGCCAGCCTCTGCAGTGGCTCATGCTGCTCCTTTTATCTGGACGGCCAGGCCCCATCCTATCTGCCTGGGAAGGCCTCCTTATCTCTCAGAGCCCTGGCCCATGCTGCCTCCTCCAGGAAGCGTTCTCTGATCTCCCCAGCTTGAGCCAGGGCCTCTCCTCTGTCCTCCCACACCTTTGTCTTTGTACCTTTCATTGGCTTTTGTGCCCCTCGAGGCAGGGACCAGGCCAATTTGCTCTGGCAGAGGAAGGACTTTAGCTGTTCCAGGTCATACCCTGTGACAGACACCACAGCTCTCTGGGTAAGTCCAAATTCTTTCATGGGGCACACAAAGCCGGCCTCAGCCACTCTCTCACTATACGCCCTGCACCCCCTTCTATGTCACAGCGCTTCTTCTCATTGCCGAGCCTCTTCACACACCGGGCCTTTGCCTGGAACAGCTTTCCTTCTCCTTTCTCTCCCTCCCCTAGGGCTCAACTCAGCACCTCCTCTGGGAAGCCTTCCCTGATCTCCCGGCAGGGTTGCGCCTGCCCCCTGAGCTCTCCCTCTAACACGATATGTACTCAAATTGTTTCTTTAAGTCTCTGCCTTCCAAGGAAGACTGCAGTTCTGGAGCGTGGGCCATGTCTAAATGACCCCTTCCCCCACCATGCCCCAGATCTGATAACCAACATTCTGTCCTCCCTGCCCAGACCTGCAGCTCCTCTGAGGCCCGGGGCCCTGCTCACCTGTAAAACAGGGTGGTAACCCCCACCTCCTGGATTATAAAGACAACATGAGCTGACTCACACAGGCGATTAGCATATAATACGCACCAGTGCAAACTCTAAGTATTGCTCCCCTTGACAGTGAGTTACCCTCATGAGAACAGGGCCTTGTCCATCTTCTTTGCTGGGGCTTCAGCTCCTGGCACGGTGCTAGCGCTTAGGGGGTACCCCAGACTCCCCTTCTTGGGGTGGCTGACCATCTGGGGCTCAGCCAGGCTGGGGAAGTCGACCACAGGAAACCGCAAGGCAAGGAGGGCCAACCCTCCATGGCGACTCTCCCAGGCCAACCCTCCATGGGGGACTCTCCCGGGCCCCCCACATCCTGCCCCGCTCCTGCCTCCAGGGCCCCCGACCTTGCTTGAAGTTTTCCAGGTTGCGGAACTCCACCAGGCTGTTTCCATAGTAGTAGTTGGTGACGTAGATCCTGTCGTCCTGCGCGGCCGGGTCCTTCATCCAGGCTCCCTCGTGGCGCCCGTAGCTGTGGTGCCTCACAGGGGGGTCCACGGTCCGGAGGGTGCCCTCACAGCTGGCCTCCCTGCCTGTGGGGAGTGAGGGGAGCAGCATTTGGCACTCAGACCCACGGGCCCCGGGTCCGGGCACCAGTCCTGGGAACACTCCCTGGTCTAACCTACATCCCTCCTGATGTTTTGTTTGCAGCCTCTTGTTTTTATTTCCCTCGTGATCAAAGCAATGTCTGATCATTGAAAAAAAACACACAGAACGTTCAGCAAAGGAGAAAATAAAAGCCATTCAGAATTCCATCATCCAAAGAAACTTTCTAGCATGTTACATTTCCTTCCTTTTCTTTACATGGACAGTCATGTAAAGAAAACTATGGTTCTTCCGAATATAGCCTGTCTTTTTCCCTCCACTCGGCAATTTCTCCCATCAGCACATGGCCTTTTAATGATGTGACTTCTAGGTTCTACCGGGCCACCCGACAGCTGTGCCCTCGAGTTTATTAAACCAGACCCCTCAGTGTTAGAGCTTTAGATTATGTCCAGTTTTCTGTTGTCCAAATCGCTGATGGATCCTTAGGAAAGATTCCTAAAAACGGCGTGTGCTCAGGCCCAGGACGGCTTGCTGTCGCGGGCAGGCAAGATGCCCACGATGGATGGGTTCGATGACTTACGGAGGAGGATTTTACCAAAGCCACCAGCCAAAACCCACATATGTGAACCTAAAAACAGAGCCAGAGACAGGACAGAGGAAATAAAGACGTGAAAATAGTTGTTGGATTTGATGATGGGAGTCTAGGTGACTTTTTAAAAAGAACTTCCTGAGCCCTAGCCAGTTTGGCTCAGTGGATAGAGCATCAGCCTGCGGACTAAAGTTTCCCA